TCTCCATCAGGTCCATGTCCTTCTTATATTGGCTTATATTATTAGATTGGCTTTTCCTTAACAGGAGAGCTCTCTGCATCTGTAAATGATGCTGCTGAACAGTGGCTGGCCCGGGGTGGAAAATGGGTTCTGAAGAGTTGGCAGTGCTTGTGAGTTCTTCAGCAGATCCCCAGTAATGGTGTGTTCTTCTCTTTTCACAGCTGCCTTTTGATTTTACATGGAAAATGCTGAAAGATAAATTTAATGAATGTGGTAAGTTGCTTTATCACTTGTGATTACCCTGACACTTGAATATGAATTAAACCAGTAACTCTGGATCTGTATGTCCCCGATATGAGTATCTTAACTAAAATTTCACTCAGACTTGCTGAAATACTAGATCTTTATGTTGACAAGTGTTGTGAGGATGTTTGCCATCCCTGCTGTACTAGTGAGAGTTCTGTGGTGTTGAAAAGAAATAAATGCCTGGCCATTTGATAACCCAGTTATCAACTGGGTTATACCTGTGGTTTTTCTAAGCTTCTGTTCCCTTCTGCATCTCAGGTGCTGGGTTTATCATGTGGGTAGCCACTCTGGAGATAGGAATAGAGATATGAAAGTGCTGAGAACTGCTGAAAAGCACCTGCAGAGATTCTTTGTATCTAAATGAACATCACTGTCTGGGAAAACTGTCCTTTTCAGGCTGGATATTAGGAAAAATTTTGTCACTGAAAGGGTTCTCAGCCCTTGGAATGGGCTGCCCAGGGAGGTGGTTGAGGCCCCATCCCTGGAGGTGTTCAAAAGCCGGGTTGATGTAGTGCTGGGAGGTCTGGTTTAGTGATGATGCTCCTTGTTTGTTGTGTGGGTGTCTATTTTTGTCAGTGAGGTTGATGGTTGGACAAGATGATCTTTAAGGTCCCTTCCAACCTAGAAGATTCTGTGATTCTGTAAAAAAAAATAACTAAAAATATTCTTACATCAGCTACTGACTGTTCAGGTGTGCTCTTCAGCTTCAGGATGTTTTTTTTTTTTCTTAAAGCAGCAGTTGCTGTGCCCAGACCTTGCTCCCCAGTATCTTGTGCTCCTTGTCTGATGACAAAACCAAATCCCAGCCCATCGGGGGGACAGTTAATAGTGCAAAGTGTGTGTTCACGAGTTGGATGGGGCTTGTGCTTTGCTCTGTTCATCTGCTTTCGGTGCTGCTGCTGGAGTGAGAATTGAGGAAAGGGTTTGAATTAATTCATCTCATCAAAGTGCTGCTGCTGGAGTGAGAATTGAGAGAAAGGGTTTGAATTAATTCATCTCATCAAACTGAGAAGGGTTCTTTAAAGCAATGACTTGATAAAGCTGCTGTTTGAAAGGAATGGTGATTTCTAAAGGTAGAGGGCTATGATTTGATGGAGAATGATGTGTTACCTGCTAGGTTAAACAAAACCCTTTCTTTTCTTCCCAAGGCCACGTGCTGTATGCTGATATCAAGATGGAAAATGGGAAGTCCAAAGGCTGTGGTGTGGTTAGATTTGAGTCCCCAGAAGTGGCGGAGCGAGCCTGCCGCATGATGAACGGGATCCAGCTCCGCGGGAGGGAGATCGACGTGCGAATCGATAGAAACGCTTAAGTAGTTGCCTTTTTAACACACAGATATACCAGATTTTTTGAATTTGTATTTTTTCCTTGTTAACCATTTTAATTTGACTGGATGTAAAGGTGTTTAAAAACAATTCAGTTGCTTTCTGGAGTAATTTTAATTACTTTTTTAACAAATGGATTTCCATTTTACTGTTTTTTGCATTGAAACGGCAATGTGCACAATCTTTTTTTGTAGTTGTGGCATCTTGTTGACATTACAGATGTAAACAGTATGACTTTGATAATAAATGCAAGTTAAAGATTTCAAGTCACGGCATCCGTTACTGGCAGCCCATCCTCTGCTTGCAAAAAAGATCTGTAAACTCAGCTCGGTAAACTACAGTTTGGATTCTCTTGTCAAGAGAGAGTGTTCCCTGGTAGCTTCATTTTTCCTCCAGTGGCAATGCTGATTTTTAAATAAAAAAAAAATAAATAAAAAATCCTTTACCCTCAGCTGTCTCTGTGCCATTCTGAAGGCCTGAACTGAAAAGGGATTTAAAAACCTAATTATTTTTTCCCCTAATGGGGAGCATTTCTGTGGGGGTCACGCACCCAGGTGGGATATTTCACCTTCTCCTGCAACACATTATTTTAATAATACAAATCGAAAGTGCTTATTTTTTAAGTGGGAATTCTTGTGGTAGAAGAGCTGAAGCTTTATGCCAAAGGCAGGATTTTTTTTGTCCTTGCCTCAGTTTAGGAACTGCATGGCCTCAAAATTAAATTCTTACAGTAATGGGAAGTGAAAAGACATTCTCATGGTGGGCTTGATTCCATCAGTGGGACTTCGCTGGCTTGGAGTTGGTGGAGTCACAGAATCGCATGGGGTTGGAAGGGACGTGGGCTTGATTCCGTCTGGCTCGGAGTTGGTGGAATCACAGAATGATACGGGGTTAGAAGAGACCTCTGGAGATCATCTTCTCCAACCCCCTGCCAGAGCAGGTCCCACAGGAACGTGTCCAGGTGGGTTTGAATGTCTCCAGAGAAGGAGACTCCACCACCTCCCTGGGCAGCCTCTTCCAGGGCTCTGCCACCCTCACAAGAAAGAAGTTCCTCCTCATGTTTAGGTGGAACTTCTTACCCTCAAGTTTGTGCCCATTCCCTCTTGTCCTGTCCCTGGGCACCACTGAGAAAAGCCTGGCCCCATCCTCCTGACACCCACCCTTTAACTACCCTTTAACCCCTCAGTCTTCTCCAGGCTAAAAACACCCAAGTCCTTCAGCCTCTCCTTGTAAAGGAGTTGTTCTAGTCCCCTCATCATCTTCATAGCCCTTTGCTTTGTAGCCTGTCCTTCCCCTTTAACCCCTCAGTCTTCTCCAGGCTAAAAACACCCAAGTCCTTCAGCCTCTCCTTGTAAAGGAGTTGTTCTAGTCCCCTCATCATCTTCATAGCCCTTTGCTTTGTAGCCTGTCCTTCTTGAACTGGGGAGCCCAGAACTGGTCCCAGTGCTCCAGCTGTGGCCTCCCCAGGGCAGAGCAGAGGGGCAGGATGACCTCCCTCCACCTGTTGGCCATGCTCTTCTTGATGCCCCCCAGGATCCCATTGGCCTTCTTGGCCAGCAGGGCATGTTGCTGGCCCATGGCCATCCTGGTGTCCACCACGACTCTCAGGATCAATGGCCTCTTGGTCACAATATATTGATATCTCTCTGATACTGAGCAAGCAAAGAGCAAGAACTGCTGCTCCCTCTGTCACATCAATGGCCTCTTGATCACAATATATTGATATCTCTCTGATACTGAGCAAGCAAAGAGCAAGAACTGCTGCTCCCTCTGTCACCCAGACTCTATCCCATCAAGAAGCCATTTGAAGTGTAATCACCTGTAATTAATAAGCTAAAGCTTATTCTGGTTGTGTCTGATGAAGGTCACCTGAGCTCCTTCTGCAGCCAGCCTTGGCTTCACCTCTGCTTTCTCAATCAAGAAAATCTCCCTGAAGCGATTCCTGCCCTTTCCGACACCCCTGGAAGTGCTGCTGGATTAAACTCAGTTGTAGTTCACCGTTTTATTTATTTTTAAATATTCATTAATGAATTTTCCCTGAAAGGGAAGCGCAGGAGCATCAGCCCAGCCTTGCTGTGTGTGAGTGGGGTGTGTCCACCACAGCCCGTATGAGGAGAGGTGGGGGGTTGCTGATGTGCTGGAAGAACAGATTCTTCACTTGCTATTTCGTACTTTGGAGAGAAAAAAAACCCAAAAGACCAAAAAACACCTCAATTCTGCTGCATTTTGCTCCACAATAAAACCGTTAGTTAAAGCCTTGGTAGAGTTTCCTCGCGGCGGGCGGGCACGGCGGGGTGATGCCTCCAGCTGCGGTAGGAGCCAAAGTCCTTGAACCCCAAAGAATTCAGAAATTAAAAGCTAAATTATAGCGGGAAATAACCCCCGTTCTCCCTCCCGCCGGGTTCCCGCCATCTCCCCGGCCACGTGGCCGCCGCCCGGCGCGCGGCAGTGACGTCAGCGCGCGGCGCCGCCCGAAGGTCACGGGCCGGCCTGCGAAAATGGCGGCGGCGGCGGGGGCTGGCGGCTGCCGGGTGAGCGGGGGGACGGCGGCCGGGGGGGCCGAGAACCGGGCCCGGCCGGGCTGTAGAGGCGCCGTGGGGCTGCGGGGGGAATCGGGGGGAAGTAACGACGGGTCGCGGCTGCCGTGAGGCCCGGCCCGGCCGGACGTGGGGGTGCCGTGAGGGGCGAGAGCCGGGGTCTGGCGGTGCCGGGCCGGAACGGAGAGCGCTCGGGTGTGGGTGGGAGAGGCGGCCCGGTGCCAGCTCCCTCCTCTTCCATCCCTTCTAAGTGCCGAGGGAAGGTACCGGGAGGGGGCCGCTGAGGTACCGGGAGGCCGCTGAGGTGGCCTGAGGGGGCCGCTGAGGTACCGGGAGGTTGCTGAGGTGGCCGGGGGGGCTGCTGAGGTGGCCGGGAAGGCCGCTGAGGTACCGGAGGGGGGGCCGCTGAGGTGGCCGGGGGGGTGCTGAGGTATCAGGGAGGCCGCTGAGGTACCAGGAGGTTGCTGAGGTACCGGGGCCGCTGAGGTGGGGACACCGGGGAGGGACCGTCCTGCCCTGGCCCGGCTCTGACCCTGCCCTGAGGGCTGTGGGGCCCGGAGTGATGGTGCCTGGGGGCAGAGGGAACCGGGCCCCGGCGTCTCTCCCTGCCTCGGTGTCCCTGCTTATGCCACCATCGAGCTCAGCGAAGGACAGCCCACAGGTCGGCCTTGGAGCTTCACGGAGCTCTCTGTGATGGGCAGCTCCGCTGGTGGCCTCTTGCAAGGTTTAAATTTAAACCTGGGTTAAATTTTCCCCCCCGGGTCTAGGTGAAAGGATGTGTGTGAATAGAATGCAAAGGTTCTGGCTTTCAACGCCGCTTTGTAGCACGACAGGTTTTGAGGGTGGTTGATCTTCTTTTGTCGCCAAAGCTAAAGGTGGGATTAAGCATTTTTGCTTAGTAGCATGGAAGAAATCAAGCTTTTGGTCAAGAATTTCGCTCATTTAAATCCAGTTGGATTTAAAAGCCTGCCCCAGGTTTTAGTGCCATTCTTACAGTTAATATAGATGTTTGAGTTGTGCATATAATATCTAGCTTGTTCTTGTTTCAAAGCCTGGCCGTAGGGATGGACTGGGCAGCAAGGTTCAAAGGCTCCGGAGAGCCTTGGTTTAAACTCACTACTTTAAGGTAGTGGAACTTAGATACAGCTATGGAGGCAATCACAGAATCACAGGATAATATGGGTTGGAAGGGGTTGGAAGGGACCTCTGGAGATCATCTCCTCCGACCCCCTGCCAGAGCAGGGTCACCCAGAGCAGGTCCCACAGGAACGTGTCCAGGCGGGTTTGAATGTCTCCAGAGAAGGAGACTCCACCACCTCCCTGGGCAGCCTCTTCCAGGGCTCTGCCACCCTCACAGGAAAGAAGTTCCTCCTCAGGTTTGGATGGAACTTCCCATGGTCAAGTTTGTGCCCTTTCCCTCTTGTCCTGTCCCTGGGCACCACTGAGAGAAGCCTGGCCCCATCCTCCTGACACCCACCCTTTCAGTATTTATAAGCATAGATGATATCCCTCTCAGTCTTCTCCAGACTAAACAGACCCAAGTCCCTCAGCCTTTCCTCATAAGAGAGATGCTCCAGGCCCCTCATCATCTTTGTAGCCCTTTGCTCTCTCCCCTCTCCAGCAGTTCCCTGTCCTTCTTGAACTGGGGAACCCAGAACTGGACAAACAAACAAATAAATAAAAGGGAGCTGAATTTAAAAGACCTGAGTTAATAGAGATGTCGAAACCAGCGAGTTAATGTAACACGTGTCTTTGGGCCAGCAGGGATTGTGGGGCAATTACACCATTCCTGCTGCTGGATGGAAGGGCTGGATTTAGCCCATGGCGTTGGGCCATGCTGGCTCTGAGGACCAGACACTGCTGCTCTTCACAAAACCTTTTCAACATCTAGGAGCCTGATAAAGCGGTGGACATGTTATTGTTAGCTCAGCCACAGAATGAAATATTCTTAGCTTAAAAATAGTTTTCCAGAGCGGAGGGCCACAAAAATGATCAGAGGGCTGAAGCCCCTCTGCTGTGAGGGGGGGCTGAGAGAGTTGGGGGGGTTCAGCCTGGAGAAGAGAAGGCTCCGGGGAGACCTTGGAGCCCCTTCCAGTTCCTAAAGAAGGGGGGCTCCAGGAGAGATGGGGAGGGACTGTGGATGAGGGAGGGGAGCACTAGGAGGAGGGGGAAGGGTTTGACCCTGAAAGAGGGGAGATGGAGCTGAGATGTGGGGAAGAACTTGTTTGGTGTGAGGGTGGTGAGAGCCTGGCCCAGGTTGGGCAGAGAAGCTGTGGCTGCCCCATCCCTGGAGGGGTTCAAGGGCAGGTTGGAGGGGGCTTGGAGCAACCTGG